AGGTGGTGGGAAGGATCCTGTTGGGAAGAACCTCCACAGCCCGGGGCAGTCTACGCTTTCTTCTGAAAAGGGTGGGTGGCCATCTGGCAAAGAGACTTTATAGAGTTGGAGACACGGGACAACCTTAGGCAAGGCCTGCTGGCAGTGGTGAAATTCAAAAATTTATCCTACCGGCTCTGTGGACGTGGCTTGGTGGGTGTGGCTTGGTGGTCATAGGTTCACTGACAAAAGGGCGAATGACAAAACCGCGCCCGACTAAACCGTGGTGACAAAACCGCATGTTCTAAAGCGCTCCGACGAATGAGCACTGAATCGCACCAACAACAGCATGGCGACAAAAGCGCGCTGTAAACCTAAACCTAACCCCTAAACCTAAACCTAAACCTAACCCCTACCTTAAGTTAAATCGGCTTTCTGTCGACGCACTGTTGTAAAGCGCCCTTCTGTCTCCGCGCTGTTGTCGTCACGCTGTTGTCGTCGCGTTGATGACGTCACGGTTTTAACGACGCGGTTTAGCCGGTCACGGTTTTGACGTTCACCCTTTTGTTGGGTCACGGTGGTCATGTGACCGGATGGGTGTGGCTGCACAACTGACTCACACACAATGCAAAAACAGCTGGACTTCACACACAAAATGCCCTCTGCAACAAGCAACAAGCAGGAATCTCACAGAGAGCTCAAAAACCAACTGTCAAGTAAATGAGTGGATTTCTTTTGAAACTTGGCTGGAGCCTCGTGAATTAATTAGGGCATCTTTGGGAACTTGACACCAACTATCATACTTTACACACAAAAACAACACAAAAGCTACACAACTGACTCACACACAATGCAAAAACAGCTGGACTTTCACACAAAATGTCCCCTGCAACAAGCAGGAACATCACAGTGTCAAAAAGAGCTCAAAAACCAACACAAATAAATGACTGGATTTCTTTTGAAACTTAGCTGGAACCTCATGAATTAATTTGGGTATCTTTCGTGAACCTGACACCCAACTATCACACTTTACACACAAAAACAACACAAAAGCTACACAACTTGACTCACACACAATGCAAAAACAGCTGGACTTTCGCACAAAATGACCCCTGCAATCAGCAGGCACAGCTGATTGTCCCAGGAGCTGAACATTGGAACTTTTATAAAACTTTTGTTAGATTCGTTTTACTTCTGTTTCAGGGGAATAGGTAGTAAAAAAAATGCTAAAAAAAAGTTCTGGCGATTACGCGGCAGTTATCTCTTATTAACTTTTAAGGGCCTTTGTTCATCTTTGCAGAGACTCATCAGTACAATTGCAGCCGAAAGAGGGTGGGAGTCTCCGGCCAGGCTGGGCAGGGCCCCAAATTCCCACTTGATTTTCCTGATGTCTTTTTTTCAATGTTATGTTTTCTGCTGCAGTGATGCATAGACGTTTTTTTGTCTCTCCTCCCCCGACCCCCTTCCCAGCATTCTCGAGGAGACACAGTGGTGGGCGTGACTTCCCTCTCCTTCTCCCACTTCGAGCCCAGCGTCTTCGTCAGCGGCACGGAAGGTGGCTACTTGATGAAGTGCTCGACCGCGGTGGATACGGCCGCCCTCCTGCAGAAGGGCAGCTCCATTCCCCTCAGGGCCCCCGCCCAGTTCAGCTTTTCCTCCCACGGAGGTCCCATCTACAGTGTCAACTGCTCACCTTTCCACAGGTAAGGCCTGGTGGCTACTGCCGCTACTACAACATCTGGAGCACGGAAAGATTTTCACGAACCAACGTAACAGAATGCGTTTTTGAGCCTGCGATCTCAAATGTGGCGGCTTATAAACGGGGGGTTATAATTAAGCATGTTGAATTCCAGGTAATAATAGAATTGGGAATGACTAGCACATATGTGCAAGGGGAACCTTTACCTTTAGTAATCCAGGGGGGACACGGGGACTCAGTGGCTAAGATGCTGAGCTCGTCGATCAGAAAGGTTGGCGGTTCGAATCCCTAGCACTGCGTAACGGAGTGAGCCCCGTTACTTGTCTCAGCTTCTGCCAACCTGCCCTCTTTCCCCCCAAATAAGACCTCCCCGGGTAATAAGCACAATTGGGCTTTTGAGCGCATGCACTAAAATAAGCCCTCCCCAAAATATTGCAACACAGCAGCAGCCATGAGGTGACCATGCTTGCTGCCTCCTGCACCTCAGAAAATAATAAGACCTCCCCAAAAATAAGGCCAAGCGCTTATTTCGGGGATCAAAGGAAAATAAGACCCTGTCTTGTTTTTGGGGAAACACGATAGCAGTTCGAAAGCAGGTAAAAAATGCAAGTAGAAAAATAGGAACCACCTTTGGTAGGAAGGGAACAGTATTCCGTGAGCCTTCGGCGTTGAGTCATGCCGGCCACGGAGACGTCTTTGGACAGCGCTGGCTCTTCAGCTTTGAAACAGACGAGAAGTGCCCCGTAGAGTTGGGAACGAGTAGCACGTATGTTGTGAGGGGAATATTTACCTAGTAATCCAGGCAAATGTAGTTGAAGGCTGGCCTAGGGTTTATGTTCTCCCTTTCCAGCAGAAGGGGCAAAATTAAACCTGCCCATTCGGGTGTCAAGAGTGAAGGGGAAGGATACACCTTGTTTTAAGAATAACAACAAAACCTGGATTTGAACTTGTGGCCTCAAACATCGCCATAGTACAAGATTTCACCTGATTCAAGATCTTTTGGGCTGTGATTCTGGGCCATCAAAACTGCCGGTTTCATTTTAGTTCTTTTAATGTGCAATGGTGACTAGAGGCACCTTATAGCAATACCTATATACAGCTTTACAGTGCTTTGCAGCCCCCTCTAAGCGGTTTATTGAGTCAGCCTCTTGCCCCCAACAGCCTGGGTCCTCATTTGACCCACCTCTGAAGGAAGGAAGGCTGAGTCAACCTTGAGCCAGTGAGAATAAGGCCAAGCGCTTATTTCATGGGTCAAAATAAAACAAGACTCTGTCTTATTTTGGGGGAAAGACGATAGGTAGGTCTGTAGAGATGTGTAGATAAGAGATTAGATAAAGAGAGAGAGAGAGAGAGATGTATGCAGATAAGAGATTAGATTGATGTGTAGATGAGATTAGATAATGTGTAGATGAGATTAGATAATGTGTATATAAGAGATGAGATAATGTGTAGATTAGGTTAGATAGATGTGTAGATAAGAGATTAGATAGATAGATGTATAGACAAGAGATTAGATAGCAATAGCATGATTTATATACCGCTTCATAGTGCTTTTACAGCTCTAAGTGGTTTACAGAGCCAGCCTGTTGCCCCCCAATCTGGGTCCTCATCTGACCCACCTTGGAAGGATAGAAGGCCATCAATCCTGAGTCTGGTGAGTTTTGAACTGCAGCTAGCAGTCAGCTGAAGTAGCCTGCAGCACTGCACTCTAACCACTGCGCCACCTCGGCTCTTATGAATTATGGGCACTTGTAGAATTCCAGTTGAGTGTAAGCCGTTGGCTCTGAATGCCATTCTCCCCTAGGATTTGCTTACATAAAACCTGTTTTTTTTCCGTTTCCCGTCCCCAAGGAATCTGTTTTTGAGCGGAGGGACCGATGGACATGTTCATTTACACTCAATGCTGCAGGCTCATCCACTGCTGTCCCTTCAGCTGTCGAAGAAGTATATTTTCAGCGTCAGGTGGTCGCCGGTCCGGCCCCTGGTTTTTGCAGCTGCTTCTGGGGAAGGTATGTTTGCTTTGGCTAGCTGTGGGCAGAGGGATTTGTCATGTGGGGTGGGGGGTGTCTGGACGTGGTTTTATTTGAGCCTGCCAATTGGCTCACCTCATCCAGGTGGGAGTAGTGAGTTTGGTACTTCAACCCACCATTTTTTTTTACTTTCAGATGCTTTCGGTGAATCTATTTACCGTATTTTTCGCTCCCCAAAAAGACGCACACTTCGTCTCTCAAAAGTGGGTGGAAATTGTGTGTCTCTTATGGAGCGAATATTGCCGAGCGCCCCCCCCCCCACTCTTCAGCCAGTTTTGGCCTTCGCACGTCCCGTTTTTGAAACAGGATGCTCGGAAGCCAAAACTGGGACTTGTGGAGGCTGAAAACGGGGCACACGAAGCCAAAAACAGGAGTGCGTCTTATGGTGCAAAAAAAAGGTAATTAATTTGTGCTGTTTGTTTAATCTTTTATTTTCCAGGGGAAGTGCAGCTTTTTGACTTTGCAAAGAGCTCCCAAAAGCCCTCAGTCTCAATCAGGCAGACGCCCGACCAGGCCCCCGTCTACTGCTTGGAGTTCAACCCTCGGCAGACTCAGGTCCTTGCCGCCGGGGATGCCAGTGGGACGGTGAAGGTCTGGCAGCTGAGTTCGGATTTCACTGAAGAGGGCCCGCGCGAGATGAGCCATCTCGACCAGCTCGCAAACGAAGTCACCGATTAACATGGCCAACCCTTGCTGAGTGTCTTTAACACAGAGATGCTTCCAGTCAGGAAGCGAAAGTCTTGTTTGTGCTCGTGTGTGTGTGTGTCTGTGTGTGTGTTGGAGAAGGTTGTAAATAAAGACGAAGTAAAACCACAATTCTGAGTGGCATTCTCTTTCAAGGCTTAGCGGAAGGGGCTTTGTTTTGTCGATGGTGATTTCTCTCTATGCTCTGGAGGCGTGAATGAAGGAGTGAGATTCAGCCGGGTTGCACCAGTTACAGCAAACCAGATGTTAATTTTGTACCTGGTTCGCTGAACTGGTTGTTGCAAGGACTGGCTGGCCCTGCCCACACTGCCCCTCCCAGGAGTTTCCACCCAGCCGGTTTTGGATGCCAGGTAAGTGCAAGGCACATGCAGAGGCTCTGGGAGAGTGAAAGTGAGCCTCCCGGAATTCTACAAATGAGTCCGTTTCCGGCTTCTGGAGGGCGGGAGAGAGCAAAAATCCCCCACCAACATCATGGTGCAAGAGGCTGAGTAGGCCATTCCCACCATAGCCCCACCCACCCAGCAACCGAGGAGAGAACCAGTTGCTAACATTTTTCAATCCCACCCCTGCATGAAAGAAACCCTCGATTTGGACTAGCAACTTTTATTGAAGCACACACTGTGACATTATTTTTTGTTATTGTTTGTTTCCTTAGGCCTAAGGACGAAGGCGTTAAGCAAAGCGTTTTTTAGGTTACATGGGGATTGGTTTTCGAGCACAAGAGGGGGAGACATGCAAAGAGCGAGGAAGCCAACGATGCACGAGCGCATTCTCGGGGATCGGCGGAGTGGGTTGAGGGCAGGGGGTGGGCAGCGCTGGCGATCAATTCACGAAGAGGGAGCGTGTGAATTCGACGTAGTCGTAGGCAGAGGGAAGCTCTCGGCCTTTGCTGTCCATGTAGGGCTTCATGTGCGAGATGCAATAATCCGCTTGTTCCCGGGACAGATTCTGGAAAGGCAAAAGAGACGAAAAGGTACCGTGAGGGGTGGAGAAACAAGGTCAGGAAGTTGAAAGGGGAGAGAAATCTTTTGAAATGTCTGCCTGCCTCCCTGTGTAGAAAACCTCTTCAGGAGGAAGGAACGTTAAGCAAGCACTGAAGAAACGATGCCGTCCTGGACGATGACAATATTGGAAATGGTTTCATCCACTTAGTGATGTGCTCCTACTACTTTATTCAGGTTTTTTCTCTTATAGTTTCTGGGCTGGGCCTCTCCAGCTTCTGTGTTAGAGAACCTGTTGTGGCCTGCCAGCAGAACTGGCAGCAGACTTGGACGATGAGGTTGGGGAAGAACTTGAGCCAATTCTGGACCCTCTGTGTCGGACATCCGACATTTCCCAGCCCCTGGAGAGGGAGCTGCCTTTGGAGGCTGAGATGAGCGAGGAGGAGGAGGAACAGCTGGGGCCTGTTCCAGATGCGCATATGCGCAGATAGGAAANATGGACGAAGAAATAGTTTAAAATGATGATAGTTTGGCACAAAATTTCGGTATAATATATAATAAGTTTATCATCAGGATTCTCCTCTAGGAGAAGTGGACGCTGATTACACACACTACATTGTGTGTGTGTGTGTGTTTATCCATGCAGATAAAATGCATCACACAATCTAGAAACCCGATCTTGCAACGAGAACAAAACAACCCATTCCTCCTTTTTAATTGCTCCTTTCTACACGAATAAAAGTTTGGTTTTGGGAACAGTCTATCTTGCAAGGACAGGGGAGGGGGAAATATCCTTTTCAGAACCAAATTATGGTCTGAATTTTTGAGCCAGGGGGGTTAGATTAGAAGACCTTTCAAGGTCTCTTCCAGTCCTAGGTTAATTTCAAGCCCCATTTCGCCAACCTGAGTTAAGGGCAGCAAAAAATGAAAATAAAATTCATGCAAATTCTAAAGTGCCAGTTTCCTGCAGCCTTCCCCCCTCGCCCCCCCCCCGGAGCCTGACACACACACACACACACACAAGCCGCAAGTAAATTGCTTGAGATGAGTGGAGGGCTTGTGAATGAGAGGCACAAGGCTTGAGCGAGGCTTTGCACACACAGCGTGATAGGGGATGGGAAACCTTTGCACAAACAGCTGGCTCGGTTTGCACACTCCCAGGTGGTAGGGCAGCATCTTTTCAAGCAAAGAAAAAAAAGCAAAAACGCCTTAGGATCCGAGGTGCAGCTGGTCAGGGCTCTTTTTAAAGTGACCCAAAATGATCCACCTTTTGTGTTACTCTACTGCAATTGAAGGATTTTTCATCAAAAATTATCCATCTTTTGTGTTAAAGGTAAAGGTTCCCCTCGCACATATGTGCCAGTCGTTCCCGACTCTACAGGGCGTTGCTCATCTCCGTTTCAAAGCCCAAGAGCCAGCGCTGTCCAAAGACGTCTCCGTGGTCATGTGGCCAGCATGACTCAACGCTGAAGGCGCACGGAACGCTGTTACCTTCCCACCAAAGGTGGTTCCTATTTTTCTACTTGCTTTCGAACTGCTCGGTTGGCAGAAGCTGGAACAAGTAATGGGAGCTCACTCCCTTACGCAGCACTAGGGATTCGAACCGTCGAACTGCCGACCTTTCTGATCGACAAGCTCAGCGTCTTAGCCGCTGAGCCACCTATATCTTTTGGCTTACTGTATTGCAATTTAAGGATTGTGCTTCCTTGGGGCTCTTTTTGATCGAAAATGATCCATTTTTTGGGTTCCTCTACTTTAATTTAAGTATTTTTGTGACCTGAGGCTCTTTTTGATTGAAAATGATCCATCTTTTGTTCGGCTCTCCTGCAATTTAAGGATTTTTCCCTCCTCCCCAAGCACCTAGTAAATAAATACATGACTAGGTTTTTAAACTTTGGAAACGAACCAAAGGCAAAATTACCAGGGGGAGGGGGGGACATCTCAAAATCCAGATTAAATCCCAAAGCGTTAAAACTTGGCAAGATGGATGAAGTCCCAAGGGCAAGCTAGTTTTGGTTCACTTTGAAAATCAAGAGCCCTGTCCTGAAACATTCGTGGTGAAAAACCACAACGGACAATCGGTGCGTACAAAAACACATCTCGGCTACTGTGTGGGCGAGCTTCACTTTCTCGGTGCCCCCATGAAGTGGAGAGGATCCGGCTGGGGGAAATCAATTGGCAGGCTCACCTGCCCTTCTGCAACGTGGAGGGGGCAGGCTTTTCGTTTTGCACGGGTTATTAAAATTCCTGGGTGCTTAAGAGAAGGGATGCTCGTTTTTTCACAGGTGAGTCTCGCTCGCAAGGAGGGGGGGGAAGGGAAGTGTCATCGTCAGTGTGGCAGGTAAGTGATCACAAAGCAGTTACGTGGCCTGTTTCAAAGGGGGGGAGCCCCCCTCCCACAATCCACCCGCCTTCCTTCCCGCCAAGGGCATTTCACAGTAGTGATCGGTTAGTTCGAGAAAAAAAGTAAAGAAAAGAAAAGAAAAGAAAGAAAGAAAGAAAAAGGTAAGCCGAGCTTCGGGGAATTAGGAGTGTGCAAGTTAAAAACGAAAGAAAAAGAAAACGAAAGAAAAAAAAAACCACAGCGAGGTAAGAAAAAAAGGACAAAAACCTTCCAGACAGATCATCCCCAACTTCATACTGATAGACGCGAACGACACGACGGTAGGCTATGCTATTCAAAGGAAAGAAACCGTGTGAAATTCCAAAAGAGGAGACGGGAGAACATGGAGCACACACACACAAACACCACACAAGGGAAAAAGTGGCTTACAACCCTTGTCCAAGATCAACACTCAAGTGGGTTTCTATTTCAAATTCTCCCCTCAGAATGTTGCTACAGAGCATTGCATGCCAAAACAACCAGATATATATAGTCCCCACCACCACCATCGCTCTGGTGAACACTTAAATTTCCCTTTTCTTCTGAATTCTATTCTATTCTCCTCTGAATTCTATTCCATTCTATTCTGAATTCTATTCCATTCTGAATTCTCTTCTCTTCTGAATTCTATTCCATTCTGAATTCTATTCTATTCTGAATTCTATTCTATTCTATTCTCCTGAATTCTATACTCTATTCTCTTCTGAATTCTATTCCATTCTGAATTCTCTTCTTTTCTGAATTCTCATCTGAATTCTCTTCCATTCTGAATTCTCTTCTCTTCTGAATTCTCATCTGAACTCTCTTCCATTCTGAATTCTTCTCTTCTCTTCTGAATTCTACTCCATTTCATTCGTGTCCTATTCCATATTTTCTATTCTATTTTGCATTGAATTTACATTCTTTTCTATCCTATCCTATCCTATCCATCTTATCTTACCCTATTCTTTTTAAAAAAAAACAAAAACAGGCAACCTGTTAGCCTGAACGCGTTTCTCTTCATGCGCCCACAAATTCTGTCTAGCAGATAGAGGGTCTTTGCCAGTCGTTTCCTACTTAATCTATGGGGCTGCGGTCTGGTTTCCACTCTGAAACGGATGCGGCTGTTTTCATGAGCCATGACAGACGTGGCTGTTCACGCTGCCAATCCTCCCAAGCATCCCTGAATCCTGAGTCCTTTTGCTTGGCCCTGGCAGCTGCTGCTTTCAGCCCGGACTGGCTAAAGGCTTATCTGCATGCATGTAGCAGAGGCTGAACTTTTATCTCTCAGCCGATTAAGATTCAAGGGACAGACACAACTTTCTTTCGTGGGTGTGCAAGGGAGAGAAAGAGAAAGGGGGGGGGAGAAAAAGAGGGACACAACAAGAAAGGTATATATAATAACCAAGTCACAATTTGGCCCTTTGG